TCTTAAGGCTCTGGACCAAATCTTTCTTAGGCGCCCTCTTCATGAATCTAATAGGGAAGTTCTTATGTTAAATAAAAGAAACAAAGATGATATTTATTTAAAATTATAAGGTTTTCAATTATTTTATTAACAAATAGAGATCTCGTTGTTACTGTAACCTAAATCTATCTTTTTTCCGAATATAAATTTCATAAGATGTTTATATTAATTTAATTTCATCAACTTCTTCATTGTTTTTCATTTATTAGTTTTAACCTTTTACTTCTACATTTAGATATTTAGATATATAATCTACTAATTAATTAAATTTATAATTAAAGAGATAAACTCTCCTCTTCTCATCACTTAAGGGAATAAAAGTGCAAACGCTCTATTAAAGTAATTCCTCTTCAAAATTCCTTCTGCTATCATTACCTAAAACAAGTTCTGTCAAGGTGCCCTCATGTTTTTGATTAGAGGAAAATAATCGGTACTCAATGTTTTCTCAACAATCTAATCGAAAGAATTTCCTAAATGTAGAAAATCTAGGTATCCATTATTTTATCACCACTAGATTTCATATTTCTGGATATTGAGTCTGATTAAAATTGCTTATAAAATGAGATATGAATTTATTTTTTGAAAATTCATAGGATAATACTGCTTGCCAAGAAGCAAAATATAATTGCAAGAACTACACAAGATTTAATAAATGCCCTGCATAAATGAATGACCTTCTTTCATGTATTTGGATTGACAGCTCTAGTTATTCCATTTCAGATGTAAATTATGGTGTAATAACAGGAAGTGGACTTGATCATGCTTTATTCCAAGCTTATAATCTAGATTTCGAATCCGTCACTGATATAGCCAAATGTTAAAATTTTAAATCAGCTTGCGAATAATATGCAGGTACACCATTAAGTTGGACAAAAGCTGAGTCCTCAAAATGATATTTATATGGTTCAACTTGTCTCACAATTTCAAATGCCTCAACTGATTCTGTTAAAATAACCGGTGCTGATGGAACTATAATTTATAACATTTGCTAGTCTTACAACATGGGATGCAGCGTAATCAGAACAAGGAGTGCTTGTGTCTTACAATAAGCTCAAAGTTATGGATACGATCTTCTGGCTAGTTGTTATAAATCTGCGGCTGGCTTATGCATCGCAGGTACAAATACTGATACTACCTCTGTTGCTGCTTCATCTGCTACAAATTATGGCGCAGTATATATAGGATGTGGAAATTACAAAAATGCAAAAAGTAATGAAAGCTGGATTTACAATTAATGGAAAACTGGATGTGTAGCAATAACTTATATAGGGCATTTAGATGTGCAGATTAAACCTCATCTGCTTGCCTTTACTCTGTTGAAGTAGAATGTGTAATAGCAGGAACATCAATGTGTATAGAAAGACATGTGATACTGCAGCAACTGATGCTACTAGCGGGAATTGACTGAATGTTTAACCTACTCGTAATCATGTACTGTTGCTAGAATAGAGGGTTTTCAAGCCAGAGCAGCTTGTGCACCTTGTAAATTTTTACTCTAATGTATGGTTAATACAAATGGTGGAAATGCTTTTGAAATCCAAAAAATTGACATTTGTTGATAGAGTCGATTCAGCACTTGCTTCCACAACTTAAGGATAAATAGTGATTCTGTTTAATGTTGTATGCCAAGAGGAGCATGCAGTTCATTTACCATTAAAAGTGCTATGCAAAAATAACCTAAGTGGTGGTGTCATTTGAAAAACAACTAAAAGATTAAGCTTTTTAATTTAAACTGAGTAATTAAAATAAAATGGTATGATTTTTTCATTAAAAGTAGAAATAAGAATATATTATTTAGAGAAAACACAATACTAATCAATATATTTCCTTTGTATCAGTTTAGAAAATGCACAACCCAATTAAATGATAATGGCTTAAATCCACTTGATGCATAAGCATCACAATATTAACTGAAAAAGCCATAATCAAAGTCTTTTAAGCAAGCAAATACTCTCTTCTCCTCTTTACTAACTTACTTCATAAGACCACTCTTTTCAACTTTGAATACGGATGAAATATCTCTAAAGTATATGAAGTTATTAAGAGAACTATCTTTGGGTTACCGAACTAAATTACTAATTGATAAAAACTGATTGGAATACAGTAGTCAGTAATCAATAAAAACTCAAAAGAACAAATGATGTTATATTATAAATTATTGAATTCTATAATTCATACTTCATTATAAGGGATTATTCTATAACCATCCTATCTGTTTTAATGTTATCTATGTTTAACACAATTAAAGATGGTCAAAAACAAGAAAATGAAGGCTATATTTGATATTGTATCAAGGGTAGATGCCAGATATTCTAAATCCTTTAGAACATGCATTTCAAAATCCCTAAAATAAAGAGTGAGATTACTTTTCTTTTTCGTCTCTTTTTCCATCTTAGTATAAGCCTAGCAATTCTAAGAGTATTGATACTATACCACTCAAAGACATTTATTTATTAAAATAATTTATTAAACTAAATTCACAAACCTTAAACCTTATGTTACTAAATTTCTCAAGCTGATAGTAAATGATAGGTTAAAACAAAACTGAAAATAATAATATAAATAGACAATTAGGTTAGGTTTTTTTTGGATGATATGTTATAATTTTTTCAATTTGAGAGTTAAGTTTAGTAATCCCTTTAAGTATATGGTTCTCTTATTTGTCACAAAAAAAGTACAGTGAGCTGAAGAATTTTATAATAAGAGTTGACCTAGACCTTGGGAATTTGGGATTTGTATATATTATTGACTAAGTTATTGAAAAAATCTATAACTTAAAATTATGAAGAGTTATCAAAATTATCAAAATCACTCCAATTTTTTACAAAGTGATATTAGTTGTTAAAACTGGTTCCTTACAAATTATAGTTCTATGCATTTTGAGTATCGGGATATTTTCTCCATCATATTTTTGGATTTAGAAAATATAATTATTTAACTAGTATTAAAGTTATAAATTTATTTGATGCTATTACATTATGACTATTGAGCTAATGCTTTAATTTCGAACCCATTTTTTATTTAACAAACAAATTTAATTTTCCAAGATACAACTTATTTTCAATTAACTATTTGATGCATCAAAGATTATATTGCCATATGTTTTTCTTAAAGAGATTAACTCAAAGAATAGCAAGGATTTGCTAAGTATCTATATTGATATTTATCTCAAATTTATAGGTACTTATTATTGCTCTAAAGAGTTTATCCAAATTAATAACACATAGCTAAGGATGATTTTTCAATCGCAAAAGCATAAGGATTAAATAATAAACTTTTAAAATGTAAAGTATTAATTTTACTATTAAGCCAATGAAATTCTTTTCTAAATCTATATTGATCTTAGTAACCTTGTAATAAATATAGTTTTAGAAATCTGGAGAAATATGTTTATAATGCATACTAAAGCAAGTTCAACAAAGTTATTCATAAATAAAACTAAAGTATAAATAAAAATTTGATTTAACAAAAAGTTTATTTAATTCAAAATCGGAATTACTTTCATCAAAAAAAGGGTTGACATATAGAAATTTATGAAAGATTACTTAAGAAGTGATTAATCAGTTTTCAAAAATAATTAAGGTAAAGAAGGTTAACTAGCTGCTAATTACTTTACGATTTCTAAATTATTATTTTATTGTTTAGCATAAATTTTCTTTTAGTTTGATTGAAAGAAGCTTTGTTTCTGATAATTAAAAAAAGTTATTGAAAATTACAGAATTGATTTTTTTCCTATATATCATCTTGATTATGTAATAGAAAAGCAAATTGCATCATTATTTCTTTTCATAATACTGTATTTCAATAGGTTTATTAGCATTTTGATTAAAATAACTTTGGGTTATCAAGTGGAATAATTCAATAAATGTGATCTCGAAATACGCAAACACCAGAAGCGCCAGTCCTACTCTTGGATTTTAATGGCAGATTACAAAAACAAATAAATAGGTGGTTGTGTGATAAATTTAAGACCTTTCGTTTTCAAGATAGGGTAAATTTTTAGCAGCTGCCGTAATAACACTAATCTTATTATTTGGAAGTGTTTTGATTTTAATATAGTTTGTAATAAGTTATTGGAAGATTCTTACAATCTAAATACATGGTATCTCCAAAAAGGTAATCGACTAAAAAGTTTTCACATTTAATTAGCTACATCTTAGTAAGGTATCAAAGCAATAACCCTTAAATGAAACTGAATTGTGAGTATATTGAATTGGAAAGAGATTTTTATTGGTGCTGGAGTTGGAAAGGCCAAGAAGTTGATTGGAAATAATATTATCAGGTATTGCAATCTTGAACATGCTTACATTGTCTATCAGGTGATGAGACAGTATTATCCGAAGTTTGTAAAAACAGCAATCTAATTAATCGATGTCTAACCCCCTAAGGAAATAACTAAAGTGTTTCAGACCTTATGAAACCTAATCTTATTAATTCATATTCAGTCTATAACACTATTTAGACTTTCAATTTCAAAACAAAGAACAAGGTTATTCAACGCTAATTTAGAAATGAAGAACTCCTTGATGTTACTTAAAGAAAAAATAATGAAATAGAAATAATCAATCCTGATTTCTTAATAAATGTTAGTAACAAGTGGAATAAATATGCCTATTAATTTTATATAATTGATATTTTAACTTTGAACAATATGAAATAGTTGTGCTAAATCCACTACAATTCTAGGTAAATCATATTTAGATTAATTAATCTTAGACAGGGAAATTGATATTTTAAAGTCAATTCTATAATTATTTTTATAAAAGTAAACTCAATCCTCATAAGTTCAGTTGGAAGATATTAGCTAATTGGTAATATTCTGAAGAGATAAAGACTCTTACTATTTTTTTGTTAACTCTGATTAAAATATTAACTCTATTTTGGGTAACTATTTAGGAAATTCTTCTAAGATTTCTTAGGTAGCATGGAAAAGTGACTAAAAAAGGTTATCACAATTAATTATGTTGGAAGTGAATACTTATAGAAATTATTTCTATCGTTATGATATTTTATTTACAAATTAATATGATAAGTAATATTTCTGAAAAACTAATTCATTCTTCACAATCATTTTACCATACAATCATATATCTCAACATGATTAATTTAAACAATAGACTCAAGTTAAACAGAATATTCGAATTCATTTGTTTTGATTCATTTTTAATACCAATTTTCTTTTCTTTATCAAGGGAAGGGAGCAGATTATGAAATATCTAAGAAATATTTTCTATTAAGAACAAGCTTAATTTTAAATGAACAAAGACAAAAACAGAAATATCTTGTTTGTGACTAAATTTATGAATATTATTAAAGATTTTCAAAATCCAATAAAGATTTAATTTTATAATAAAAATTATTTGAATTATATACTTGATAAATGTAACTATCTTATACTTTTTAATAGAAAATGAAGAAGAATCTTTTAAAGCATTGGCAGAAGGATACTTTACTAAACTTGGTTGAAGGGAAATACATGACACCTATTAATGACTGAATAACTTTAAGCTTAAAGTAAGGTTTATCTCAATTGTCTTAGATTACTGTATGATCATTTCTAAAAAAATTCTTAATGTGAGTATA